AGTCAAGTTAGGGTCTAGTCATTTACTAGCTCATCTCGACTCGCCTCGAGCAAGTCAAACAGGGTCAAGGAGGAAAGAAGGGTGGGCCGACTTAGTTTTATAAATTGGCCCTACAGGAACTAGTGAAAGAGAGTTCTTACAAGACCAGAGATAGGTCTGCCCCAGTTCAACCCTAGAATCTTCAAACATTCGCCCACGAATAACTCCTATATATTAGTGCCACCAATGTTATGAAGATAAATAGAAACTAAAAAGGACAAATGCTTTATAAGCAACCAATGTTTATTCAGCAAGCAAATAGAACTAGCTTAAAGAGCAAATATAATTGATTTCCAATAAGAAGTTGTCCTTATACAATATAAGGTTGATCAAACAATTAAGTCTAAAGAAGTAAAGTATAATGTAAGGTCAAAATCAACCAGATGGATGGTGAATCGATACAACACAATAATAGTAAAGATCATTTACCGAGCTTTGTTCCAACTAAAACAATAGGGACGCCAGGTGCATAATGTTTCAACTCTGGGATCCACTGAAAGTCGAAGGACGAAAGAGATTTTTTACCATTAGATCCACAAATGAAGCAATGCATGATAAAATATTTAGAAGAAAATATTACAAATTTTTTGTTGGGAAGATAGTACAATTTTCTTGCTAACCTTTTTGGAAACATTTTCATAACTAGCCTTGCTAATGAGAGAGAAAGCAAGTATGAAAACATCTGCTCCACGGTAACTCAAAGGTCGTAACCTATTGTAGTCCTCTTGTCCTGATCACCAAGTAATTGAAAACAAGATATGCCTTGGTTGATTTACCTCCATCATATAACAATCCCCAAGAAAATTTGAGATTAAGATAAATTACCTGCGGTATCCCACAAACCCAAGTTGACGGTTGCACCATTGACAACAACATTTGCACTGAAATTGTCAAACACAGTAGGCACGTAATCCTGCAGGCCAAGGAAGCAAAAACCCATTGTTGTTACATGTAAGAAAAACTTCATCATTGGCTTCATAATTGACAATATCAATAAGATAACGAACAAAAGCATGCAGTTATCGCTCTTAGTAGGGAATTGAAAAAAAACATGGAAACCAATAATTATAAGCATTTTAGTATGAGTCTCTCAAAAGAATTATTGGGTTTGGCCCAAAATTCACATCTGAGACGCATATGGAACATCCAAGTATCGCAATTGAATGCACTAGGGAAGAAAATGTAGCCGGTAAAATTAGCAAGGAGGAAAACAAAGTCATAATTATTAATGTACCGTGGGGAAAGTGTTGCTAGTGTAAGAAATCAAGAGGCATGTTTTACCGACAGCACCATCACCAACGGTGACACACTTAATGAACCTTGAAGCGCTCATCTCTACTTATTATTGCGTTTTATTTGTTTTTTTTTCTCTCCTCTCGTTTTTTTAACCTTTTTCTCCTTCCTTTTAACTCAATACAAGTTCAAATTAGAATCCAAATGAAAAAAATAAAGGAAACAAAAAGAAAATTAAGCCTCAGATCTTCGTCTGAGGACGCTCCTCCTAATCAAACACAACAGGGCTGTCAGCAGAAACCAGCGTCACCAACTCTGCTTCCAACTCAAGACATCGTTTGTTCATTGAGAAAATATCTCGGGAAAGGTTAATAATATTGAGAACAAGAATGAATGATTCTCTCCAAAAGTATAAGAAATGGAAATCGTAAATCACGATAATGGTTTGAATTGAGGAAGAGAAATAGAGAACTGAAGATAGAACGTAAGCCAAACAAAAAAAAAAGGAAGAAAGAAAAGTGGGATGAGAGTGGGGAAAATAAGGAGGAGAAAATTTGTGAAGTCTAGACAAAGAGATAGAGAAGAGATGGGTGTGTGAGAGGTAGATGTCGGTTTGGTTGAATGGTGGGTGTTTTTGTTGCTCTCGCCGAACTTTTTTGCTATTGACGCGTTCGTTGAACCAACAATTTTTAGCCAACTCTCCCCTTACTTTCCAATTATATCTCCATTATTAACTATTCAACTTTCCTACATTGTTTTTGTTTGTAGCGTAAAACACGGAAGGAAGTACACTAATGGTTGGCTTAGTTGAAACAAATATGGAATGGATGGGTAGCACAAAAAGTCAGACCCTCCTATATGATCTAGATTGTACCTTCGCCCAAGATGTTACAAAAGAATATGAACAATCAATGCTCAAGTATTATTAAAAAGTTAATAAAGAAGAGAAGCATAAAAAATTACTTTCATACAGAGGGTCACTCTTTGTTTGTTTATCTTCTAGTGGTTACCTATTAAAAATATTTATCAAGTAACAATTTCAAAATACTACATTTTGAATTCAATTTTCAAAGTAGTGTTGGACCATTATATGAGATGGTGATGAACCAAGCAATTGTTGGTCACTCCTAATGGTACAATCTATACCAAAATGACTACTGATCTTACTTCTTTGCTTGTTTATGTAGTTAGACCCATGTAGATCCTTCATGTTTTTAGGTGCTTTCTAAGCAATTGAACGATCCATATTATCAGTTGAAAGCAGCATCCTCTACTCATGGAATGAGAAATCTTACTGACTAATCGCATACCATAAAATATTAGTTTTTTTACTGAAAATGAAATCTCGCACTTGTCATGTACTCAACCATTCATGTTCTGGAATCTCAATTTGGAGTCACTTTGTATGAATGGAACACCTTTATATCTACAAAATAACTTGAGCATGTGCATGATGCGGATAGAGGTGATTTTTTTAGGCTACAAGTAATATTCTCAGCCTTGCAACCATTTCAAACCACTGAATTCTATACTTTAGAAGACTTGCCCTAGCCTCCCAAATTAGTTTTAATTTGACCGTGCCTTCTTGCTTACTCATATATTGGACTCTGGATGTTATTTGTACTTTGTGGGTATGTTTTACAAATCCAACACGTCGAAGTTGGATGAGTTTGTTAAATATGTTGAGAAAGTAAGGAAGTATGGTTTAATTGATCTTTGCCCAGTTTCAAACTGATTCTCTATCCTCCCCCCTCAAACTTGAGCATGAACACCGTTAATGCCCAGCTTGAAAACACAATAAATAATTGATCTTTTCCTAATTTCAAACTCTGAGGGGACAATCACTTCTTGGATCGTGAGTGCCTCTTGAATGTCGAGGGGGCGAGTATTTTTATGCATCGTGAATGCCTTCCAGGCGACGAAGAGGCGATTTTTCTTGGATTGTAGTACCTTCTGAATGCCAAGGGGATGACCATTTCTTAGATCATGGATGTTTCTTGTACTGTTTTGACCATTTTTTTAAATTTTTAATGTTTTTTTTTTGTATATGATAAAGAGAGGAAGAGAAGTGTAACACCCCGTTTTTGGTTTAGGGTTCGATTAAGATTCGACCGAACGGTTGGAGCCACGATTACATACGAAGAATTGAAACTGTGAATTAGAAATAATAATAATAACACGAACTATTGTTATCCTTATTATTATGATAATCATCATCCCATCCCACACGTTTTATCTCCTATAAGCCATGAGAGAAAGAAAACAAAAAAATAATAATAAATTAAAAAAAACCAAACCGTTACACCACCCGATCAAATTCTCCTCACTTTATCCCTACCCCTGCAATCGCGCCGTTACTTTTTTTTATTAACCTAAAGAGAAGCAGACAGAAGGGAAGAAGAAGAAGAAAAGAAAGAAAAAAATGGCTCCTTCTCTCGCCTCTATTTCAAGTAGCAGCAGTCGCGCGTCGTCGATCCTTCTTCAGCCCTTTGTTTTCTTCCGCATCGACGCTTCACGGAAGCAAGCAGTAGCTAACAGTGACGATCAATAGAGGCAGTAGCAGTCCCCATCATTAGAACCATAGCTTCCCCGATGGCGATCGAACCTCCGTTCCTAGGTCGACAAAATCATAATCCTCAAGGTGTAGGGAGTTCGCCGGACAGTAGATGGTCGGTTCACTGCTAGACGGCGAGACGTAATGCAGCAGTTGATCGAGTATGTTAGGGGTCACTACTGGACGGCGAGACGTAACGAGTAGTTGACCAGGCATGGACTAGACGGCGAGACGTAACGTAGTGCCATTGCCTAGTTTGGGTATGCAACCGGACAGCGAGACGTAACGTGGTTGGCATACTAGGGTAGGACACCGGACGGCGAGACGTAACGCGGTGGTCCTAGCATTTTGTGTTTAAGTTAAGGATAAGAGTAAAGATCTTCTATGAGTTAATGTTAAATACGTTACTAAGGATGAAAGCGAGAACGACTTTCATCTAAGGAAAGGAAACGCTAATAACTTGTTTTAGTAAGGAGGTTGCTTAGGGCAAGACCTTAGGAAGTAACTACGAGACTGACCCCTTCTCACTCACCAGGTTGAGGATGGGTTAGCGGAAGGGGATCCCGAGAAGAAGTAAGATGAGGCAAGCGGTCGTGCCAATACTGATGGTGATATGTCAAGGAGCTGGGTGAATAGTTATAGTTAAAGTTTGATAGTTAATTTATGTTTATGATTATGAGTATATATACTGAAGATTCAAGGTTCAAAGATTCCGTGTTAAGTTGTTTTAAGTGTTTCAGATTGAGATTTCGCCCAAGTGTTGGGGCTTTTCGTTTAAAATTCTTTAATAATGTCAGTTTTTTTATTTTAAAATTTGGGTTGCTCCGGAGTAACCGGTTTTCGGTTTGAGTTATGGTTTGGTTTTTGGAAAAGATTGGGTCGTTTCAAGATGTGTGTGGAGATTAGGGTAGGGATATATATATATAATGATTTAAAAAAAGAGGTTTTATTGGGTCTTGGGGAAATATCTAATAATATAAAGGAATCAAAACATGGGTGGAAGTGGGTAATAAAAATGGGAATGTGTGGGAATTTCTACTGTTCTTTGGAGATATAGATCTAACATACATTTCTTTCATTTTTACGAGAAAAGATGGATCTCCGACCAAATTTATAGCGAACAGAAGGTGCAAGGCGTGATACCCCCATTGCGATGCATCGTGTTTAGCAGGCCATGAAGGATAGATGTGAGTGGTGGCGGATGGACAAAGGGGTAAAAATATGTAGCCCTAACTCGCGACAGACAGTTATGCTTTGCCTTAGGGATTTGGCAGGATTAGAGATAAGGCTTGTCGACGGACGAACGGAGGATATCAACTTTGGCGCCTACCTCCTTGGCTATCTTGCGGATGTTGGCCGCAAAGCTGTCATTGCCTCGGAGCTGGTCCCCCTTTGTTGCATAGAAGCTCTCTACTTTCTTGGCTTGACCTTGGAGAAAGAGGGAAACGTGGGTTGCCCTTTTGAGGGACTTGGTGGTGGGCTTCAGCTGAAAGGCGGAAGCCAAAAGATAAGACCGATCTAAACTATATCCATGTTAAGGGTTGGTTGATCTGTCTTTCTCTAGGTTCTCGTCCTTGTCTTCTTCTTTGTTTGACTCCATCAGCAGCGGTGGATTCTCCTCCACTTGATTTTCTTGACAACATCGACAATGATTGTTGAAGTGGAGAGCTAATCGCATACTATAGTCAAGATGGTTTGGATCCGCGTGGTGGAGCTTGAAGTGAATTAGCCAGATTCAAGCTTTTTCTTCCATATGCTTTTGGTCTCTGCCAGAGCTTTCCAGATGTGCTTCTTCTCTAATGGCTAAGATGTGGCGACAACACAAAAATGCGCAAAGCAGAGTTATGTGAAAAAAATGATGGGTAATAGATTACTCTCGCTTCCTAGTTTTGTTTTGGATTTTCTTTGATGAATCAAATTCTTGTATTGGTAAGGGGTGGGAAACAACGTAATGGATGAGACAGGAGACAGACGAACTCACAAATCCCCTCATGCTGGCGTAATGGAGTTGGCTCTAGTGACAACACCATTGTTGACTCAATACGTTGTAAGCATGAGATTGAAGAGGAGCAGCATGGAGAATGTTCACTCATGACTATAAATCGAAGAAAATTTCTTGTAGACTGAAAACTGAAGAATGGAAGAATGAGGATTTGAAATAAATGTATGGAATATCTACAACCACTTTTTTTCCTTTTCTTCTTCTTTGGTTTCCCTTTATTGGATTCAAATTTCAGCTCTTATACCCTGATGAATTTGCTAAATATATTTTATTTGATAGATTGATAATGCATGTAGTACATGAGTTGCTGATTTTGTCCAAGAGAATGCTCGCTTACGAGCTTCTGATTTGTGGGAGATACAAATACTATTTAGTTATAAATAGGAGTGGAGCCTCTGATGAAATTATGGGATAGCTAATAATGGTTGATAGTTGCTTCATGTTTGTTGCATGCTATTGACTGAGTATGATGGGTCTTGATTAATGTTGTCTATAGGTGCGGGTGTTGTCTGGAGCATAATGGGTGAGCAGAGACAACTTGGGTTGTCTGTATGGTCAACATCCATTCTTACAGAACCCAAGGAATTGTTTAAATTCTTGATCAATGATCTTCCTTTTGTAAATGGATGAACTGCTTTGGAGAGACTTCAAAACTGCTTGCTTTTTCTTACAAGTTCAGCTCAAGTACCGACCATTGTCGTGGTCAGTAACAGTGGCAAAGAAGATTCAGTAGAACAAGCTTCTCGATGCTTGGAAGATAATTTTGTTGAGAGTGCTGGAGCTAGTAAAGTAACTCTTTTCAAGATTGATAGACTGAACTTGACATGCCTCTACCATTTCATTATTTAATTCCCGTGGTCCAAAAATGAAGATTTGAATTCGATGATATATGGATCAATTAGGAGCACTTAGGTATCGTTTGCTTGTGGAATTTGGGTGATGGATTTGGCACCCAAATCCCAAGCATCAGGGAATTGACACAAGTCCATTGTTTGCTAAGGGACACAAATCCATAGACCCCACAGATTTTATAATAGAAATAAAAAATGTGAGACAAATCCATCATTAATGCATGATAAAAATCAACTAAACAAATAACGTACTCTTCTAAATCTATAATGCAATAAATCCATCATAAATCCAAAGATTTTTAAAACTCAAAACCTTCATTTTCAAATCCAACAAGAAAATGAGCCATTAAGATTTGATGAAATCACCCAATATCTTGGAGCTGGACACGTGGGGATTAGTTACATTTTTTGCATGGGGTCTTAAAAGGTGGATGTGTTTTAGTGGTTTGGTTTAATCAATCAAAGAATATAAAAGGAAGGCCATGTGAAGCAGCCCAAACAAGTTGCAACACATAAAGAATTCCAATTTCACTAAGGAAAAAAGAAAAAGGAAGAGCTGTCGTGAAGGAGAAGTGGAGGCAAGAAGGAGAATTGAAGAGAGTGGACAATAAGTTAGTCCCAGATTTGAAGAAATTGATGGAGAAGTTGAAATTGAGATGGCGGGGAATCAACATAGAGGTGATAATCCGCTTCAAAACCAAAATGAGGAAGCGGGAGCCGAGGAAGAGCCAAGGACTATGGGCTATTACATGGCTCCACAGGCGGCGGATATCCAATCTCCTATACTCCATCCACTCGTGGCCGCCAACAACTTTGAAATCAAGCCCGCTCTCGTGACGATGATTCAACACAACGCCTTATTCCACGGGATTGCCAATGACTCAGAGCGAAAGCATGTTCAAAGGTTTTTTTGAGCTTGCGAGAAGCCTGAAGATAAATGGCATCACCGAGGAGGCATTGCAACTAAGGTTATTCCCCTATTCTTTGGCAAGGAAGTCATTCCTATGGCTCAACAACCGTCTGGCTCGATCCATCACCTCTTGGGATGATTTACTCAACAAGTTCATGACCCGATATTGTCCTCCTTCCAAGACGGCCGAGTGGAGGAAGAAGATCACTCGCTTTGAGCAAGAGGAAGATGAGACGTTGAGGGATGCATGGGAAAGATTCTCCAACTACTTCCTCCAATGCCATCACCATGGATTCGAAGAGTAATTTCGGATAGAGAATTTCTATGGAGGTCTCATTCAAGATGTTAGGATTCTCATCGACTCTCTTGGCCAAGGGAAGTTGATGAACTTGACCCCACCTCAAGTGACTGAGTTGCCCGAAGATATGGCCCGCGAAGGATATGATTAGGGATTGATAAGGAGTGGTAAGAGAGCACTGAAAGAGGAGTGCAAAGTGTGGGAGCAAGTGCTCCACTTGAAGAAAAGCTTGACAAAGTTGATCGAGGTGATCCTTGAGGAAAAGAAGCAAGAGAAGATAGCGGTGATGTCTTGTGATTGGTGTTCAAGCACTAATCATGAAATTGTGGATTTTCAAGTGATTAAGGAAACAAGTACCCCAATGATTAAGGAAACAATCCAAGACCTCCCGGCTTCCAAGTACAACGGGAAACTATCAACCTCGACCGACTTTCATCCAACAAAGGCCTCGATTCCAAAACTCAAACTTCCAACCACCATACCAAGCAAAAGGTGGTCAAGGGTTTCAACAACAACAACAAGTCGACAAGTTCTCTAAACTTGAAGACCTTGTGACCACCTTTGTGAGTACAAGCTCTCGGAAGTTCGAGAAGATTGAGCAATTCATGGATGTGGCAACCTCCAAGTTTACCTCGGTTGAGTCGGTACTCCGAAGTCACCAAGCAAGTATCCAGAACTTGGAAATGCAAATCGGCAATCTTGGCGGGACTCCGTAGCCCTACCCTCTCAAACCATAACAAACTCCAAGGATCATGTCGGGCTGAATTCAATTCTTTTAAGAAGTGGGAAGTTGACTCCTGAGGTAGTTGCCAAAGAAGTGAATCGTAACACCCCACCCATAATCTCTATGGTTGAACCTGTGGTTCAACCGCACAGCCAACTCTTCGGTGTTACGGGTGAACTAAATCATCTCAAATATTGACACTCTAAAACACAACACCAAACTGCGACCAAGTGTAACCGCAGTCTGGTAATGCAGTAAGTTGCAAGCTCTATTTGTCAACCCGGGGTCTAGATCTACTGCCTACTCCTTGATTATCTATTATCTATCAAACTAAGTCGAGTGATTGTGATTTTAACTAAAAGCAGTAAGAAAGAAGGAAATGGTTCAAAGTTCTTTAGCAAGGGAAGAGTCACTCTGGATTGAGTCCCCCTAGCTCCTTATTTAGGTCAAGGTTGTAATAACCCTAGGTTGATTAATTGTTGATTAAACTGCGAAAGATCCGATAGTAGCTTGGAATCTCTTAAGCTGACCAAGCCCTCTCAGACAGAGTACCCGGCAGACGACTAGTCTTCACTGGGGTAGAAATCTGAGGCAAAAAGCACAGAACTCCACTACTGGAATTGGATTCCAGTATAAAGCAGTGAATCGATTAACTCTCGTATAACCAATCTACCACTACCAATTGATGAAGCTCTAACGACGTAATCAGATTCTATCTATCTCAGGTTGAAGCAGAAATCTAGAAAAGATAATCAGACTTCAATTGACTCAATAAATCATGCATCAATCGATTAAAATCAACCAGTATAACAATCCCAAGTCATTACAATCAAGATCCCTAACACATGGAAGTAGGGTTCTTCATACCCAAGTGAGAGAAGGTTCTACTCCATAGAGAGAGAGGAAAACAGAAATCAAAGTAGTCATACTCATAACGATGAGGATAATCTGCTCCGAGATGATGATCTTCACTCCTGGGGATGCAATCTGTGCTTCAATGGTGGGAAATCCACTCCAAATAGCTCCTAGGGTTTGTTCTTCGCACTTTCTCTCTCTAAAACTCTGTTGTTCCGCCAAAAAGTGACTCTCTCTCCTTTGGCTCGAATCTGCCTCAAAAACCTGATTCTTGGCGAAATATGGGCTGAATTACGGTCGTAATTCTTCTCTGCCCGTATTTTGCCCAAAACGCGCGTTTTGGTTAAGTTTCAGCGCATCCAAGGCTCCTCTCGGCAGTGAAAATACGGGCATGGGAGAGGAAAATACGGTCGTATTTCTCCTGCTTGTATTTCTTCCTCCGCTCCTGTTTAATGCTTCGTTTCTTCCTCAACCGGACTCTGAATCAGATGTCGTTTTATCCTAGACGCTCGTAGTCCCATCCTCTTTCTTTTCATGACAAGATTCCATGATTATTTGTCCATAACATGAGGTAGAAATTCATTCTTCCTCAGGTCATGCTCGAGTTTCTTCTCCTGAATTGCCAAATGATCTCCGATTGACTTGAAACTTGCGTCTTTGCTTCAATTTACATGCTAGGACCTGAAATACGAAAAAACAACACAACCGAGAATAAAATAGGCCAAGGAACCACAAATTCGAGCTAAAATAGTCAGGAAACAAGAGTGCATACATGTGCAAATACGGTGCTATCGAATTCCCCCACACTTAACCGTTTGCTTGTCCTTAAGCAAACCAAGTCAGATACAAGGTAAGCTCAAAACATCTCGATCAAGCAACCCT